AGGAGCCGCCCTCAATCCGTGAAGCTCTCGCAAAACTAAAACGAATGCGCGCGGCGCTGAGGCGAGATTTTTTTTGAAACCAACCCGCCCTCCGTAAAACTCTTGCAACTTTTCGAAACGAATGCGCGCAGCGCTGAAGCGAGAGCCACGTTTTGAAAAGGAGCCGCCCTCAATCCGTGAAGCTCCGGCTTTTCAAACGAGTGTGCGCGGCGCTCAGACGGGAGCCACATTTTGAAAACCACCCGCCCTCCATCGGTGAAGAAGTCTCAGGCGAAACGCCCGGCCCGCCTTAAAAACTGGATTCGAGGTGCGACAGGGAGAAATTATTTAATCGCTTCGCTCATTCCGCCGGCACTGGAGCGCTATTTGGGGCATCTTGGGGCCGTCTTGGGGGCTTCTTGGGGGCTTCTTGGGAGCGTCTTGGGGCTCCTTGGCGGCGCATTGGGCTCCCCTGGGGCCTCTTGGGGGGCTCTTGGGGGCCCCTTGGGGCGGGAGGGGGGGTAGTCGATTGCAGCCCCCCCTTCGGAGGCCGCGATCTTCGTGAGGGGTGGCGAAAAATAGCTTCCCCCCTGGGGATCGCCCAGGACCCAGCCGGGACCCGACCGGGGATCGGCCGGGGTACTTTTCGTCTGGGGCCCCCCAGGCCGCCGCCCCGCGCGCGCGAACTAGAAACACTGTTAAGTAGTTACCGGAGATCTTAGCACGCCTCTGGCCCGTTGGGCCGGCGAATTTGCACGGAAAAGGAATGGATGTTGAGGAGGAGGAGGAGGACGAGGAGGAGGAGGAGGAGGAGGAGGAGGAGGAGGAGGAGGAGGAGGAGGAGGAGGAGGAGGAGGAGTCCGTGTGCCCCGTCTCTTGTCGCGTGCCCCTCCGACAAACAGTTGTGCCCGGCGTCGCGCTCGGGCAAACGGAGCTCCAGGGGGAAAGACGGCGCAGAAATCTTTCAGAATGTGAGTGGTCGAAGGTGTTTCTTTGACGCGCATGTGCCCGAAAATGTATGCTCGGGGCAGTCTTTGGGCCTTCACGAGGCCCTCTTATTCCATCTTAGGGCTCTGTTGGGAGCTCTTCCAGCCATGTTGGCTTCCCTTGGGGTAGGGTCTGGCAGCGGGTTTGGAGCCTTTCGGGGCCGCCTGGACGAACTTGTGAGTTGCTTTTGGGCGGTTCTGGGATGATCCAAAGCGGTCTTGGAGCAGTGGACAGCAGCCTTGGTCGAATCCAAGGCATCGCTTCCCTCGCCCTTCGGACACGGAAGGGCTCTCCTCCGCTGGAGGCGGCCCTGCAGGTTTGGGCATACGCGTTGCAATCAGAACCCCCACGATGAGGAAGGCGAGGAGGAGGAGGAGGAGGAGGAGGAGGAGGAGGAGGAGGAAGAGGAGGAGAATGAGGAGGAGGAGGATGAGGAGGAGGAGGAGAAGGAGTGAGGGCATGGGAGCATCTCGAATTCATGGTGTCTTCTTGGGTTATGTTTGGGCCAAGGGGAAGACTTCTGAGGTGAGGGCATTTTGGGGCGGTCTTGGGCTGCATCGGAGCCTCCGTAGGCGTTAGCTGGAGGCTTCGAAGAGCTATTGATGCTACGCTGGGCACTTCTCAGGCGATCCAGCACTGCTTGAGGCCATTCGGCCCTTGTCGGAGCCATTGCGGTTGCCCAACGCGTGGTGCCACCTAAAAACAGAGTGCGCACAAGTTGACGTAGGTTTTTCTCGGAGAGTTCGACAGAACACCGAACTCACTGACCAACATGGTAACAGCACCCTATAACATACTATACCATACTTGCAGCTTCTTGGACACCATGTTTTTACGTTTTACCATGGCAAATTTAGCAAGGCTGGCAATTTCTCAAACAATCAGCCTGGCATTTGCTAGCAACACGCCGTTACACACGTGATTCCATGCACACGGCCGCGCCGAACTACACCCAACCTGCGCCCAGGTATAGTCAATCAGCGCCCATGAAACTATTATGAAAAGTTGCACTACGTGTGGCTGCTGGAGTAAAGCAGTAGAGCCGTGGCGCCAAACTGGTTATGCGATTTGATATGGTGCTGAAATGCCCCATCCCTTAGAACATCCCTAGCATGGACACGGGTCCCCCTAAGCATGGACAGGACTTTGCACCGCCGAGTCATCCATGGAATCAAGGGGCGGGTAGCACGTCCGCGCGGAACACTTTCGATCCCGCACGTTCCCATGATTCCGCCAGTCGCCAGTCGCGCTCAGTCACGGCAACACATACCTCATGGCGATATATATATATATATATATATATATATATATGTATACATATATTTATATAAATATAACAGCTAGGCCGAGCGACATCTAACACCAAAACGACGTCTAATACGATCTGGTTTCCCATTGCACAGAAATCTGGATCTGCTTCTCAATACCCAAATCACCAACTCCCCCCAATAATCCAACGCCACGTCTGAAGCTAATGCGCTCGCGGCAACAACGGTTATGCTTATCGAAGACGCCTAGGGAGAACCACCGTCGCCCCCTGCCTTTGGAGTCGCCCATCTGGCCGAGCTTTGTGGTAAGAGCTCTGTCCAGTTATCGGACCATTTGTTCCCCCAGCCATTGTGGAAACCCTTCGGGGAACACTTGGAGGAGGATGGAGGGAAATATCGGGAGGAGGATGATGAGGAGGAGGAGGCGGAGGAGGAGGAAGAGGAGGATGATGATGAGGAGGAGGCGGAGACAGAGCAGGAGGAGCAGGAGGAGGAGGAGGAAGAGGAGGAGGAGGAGGAGGAGGCGGAGGAAGAGGAGGAGAAGGAGATGGCATCTTGGGAGCCTCTGGGGACACTCTTGGGGCCTCCTGGGAGCTTCCTAGGGGCCTCTTGGAGGCACCTTAGAAGCCTCCTTGGGCCTCTTGGGGGCCTTGGGGGGCTTCTCGAGGGCCTCTTTGGCAATCGTAAGGCTTCCTGGCCCGTCTGGCGCCGTCGGAAGCCGTCTTGGGGGCCTCTGGGCCGACTTGGGGCCCTCTTGGAGTGCTCTAGGGCCGTCTGGGAGTCCATCGTGGGCGTCTTGTAGGCCTCTTGGGCCGTCTTGGGGCTCCTTGGGGCCGTTTCGGGGGCCTCTTGGGCCGTTCTGGGGCCGTCTTGGAGCCCTCTTGGGCCATCTTAGGGCGATCTTTGGGGGCTCTTGGGCCGTCTCGGGCCGTCTGAAGGCCGAAAAGAAGCAAACGCCAAAATCCTCCAACAAACTCCTTTTGAACATCAATGATTTTGGCCCCTTCGGGCCTTCCTGGGGGCCCTCTTGGAGGTCCAAGGGTCCCAAAACGGCTCGAAAGGGCCCCCAAAAGGCTCCCAAGAAGCCCCAGAGACCGCAAGTAACACCATGGCTCCCAACAGCGAACGGTGATGTAACAAGCTCTGAACAACCAGAGCGCGGTGACGTAAAGAGCTCAGAACAGCAAGGCACCCAAGAGCGAGCGGCAGCGTAGAAGTCTGTGAACACCAGGGCTCCCAACAGAAAGCGGTGACGCAACAAACTCTTAATGCCAAGGCTCCCAAGAGCGAAGGGTGCCATGAGCCCTCTCGGGCAAGTGCCTGCAGCGCTCTTTCCGTTCCCGTGCCGGCCCAGGTTACGGAAAGAGAGGTACGATTGATGACGTTCTTGTGTGTGGGGCGAAGCCCCTCAGGGTGCAATTCACAGCCCAGAGCCTGCCGATCTAGAGCCTACTTACCACAGATGGCCCCTAGAGGCCGAGCGTGACATATGTATAGGATCAGACTCCACAGGGGCTTCTTTTATGTATTCCTGCGTGTCCCAGCGAATCGGGCCCCCTTTAGCTTCCAGGTTGCAGCCAGCCTTGCTTAGTAGGCCCTCCGAGATCCTCCGGGATCCCCATTATAATATTCCAGAACAGGTTCATCCGAAACCGTTCTGGCTCAAGCCTTTGCAGCGTCACAGCGACGCTGGAGTGACTGGTGTGCGTATGGGAGACGCAGAGCAGAGAACTGCCCGCCAATACAGATCCTGTTTATCACCTACGACCTCACACACATCATCGAGGGAGACGAGAAATTAGTATCCTGGTTTGATATCTTGTGAGAAGGGATATAAGTATTCTGGAGTGTATCAGGGCAGTGGTCTATCAGCGGGACCATTGCATGGTAGCGGAGCAATCGCTCCACGGACATAGATTCATTGACATAGTCCACGCACTATGGCGAAGAATAGCGGAGACGATATCGTACCGAAGTGGAATGGAGATCTCACCACGGTGGATGACTACGAAAGAGATGTGAAGGCCTACATACGAGGGACCCGCCGAGACGAACGCTACGTGTGCGGCCCACGATTATGGAGACGATCCGAAGGCCGAGCGAGACAAGCCGCAAAGGACGTCGACTGGGACCGCATCGAGAAGGACGATGGCGTTACCGAGTTGCTCAGACACGTTCGACAGAAGTTCGGTGCTCAACCCATCCAGGACGCAGGGAAGTATCTGGCCATATGGATCTTTGATCTACGACGGGACACCGGAGAACCGATGCCGAGCTGCATCAGCAGAAACGATGAGGCCTATCATGACGTGGTCAAGGGGTTCGACACAGAGTATTTCAAGAAGCACCGCACAGCCCGACTCTCGGAGAGAGCCAAGGAGTGGAAGAACCTCTACGGATAGCTCAACTGGTTCCTGTACAAGATCGAGCAGGAGGGCCCAGAGGACGCTGCAGAGAAGACCAAAGATCTGGACACTTCGCTCTGGAGATTCGTCAAGACGGGTCTTGAGGAGATCCCGGGGCATCCCGACTTCGGGGCGGATTTCAACAGGGCGATCTCCCTGGACCAGCTGTGCGGATGGCTACTGCTACAGCGATCGAGATTGACACCGACGGAGCGGGCAGCAGTCATCAGCGCAGTCGAGGGTAACTTCGACTACGACAGCATCTGAGAGCAGCTGCGCGTTTCCTGGCCAGATGATGAGCTGACCAATCGGGACAAGAAGCAAGGCAAGGACTTCCGTCACCGAGAACGGGGGCGAATCCATGCCGGCTGGGAAGCGAACAGCGAGGAGGACGATGACTACAGCTACTACGAAGAGCACGAGTCCGAGGCGACCTACCACGGCCAGGGCGACGAGGAGGATGAGGAAGACCCCGAGGAGCCGCTCTACAGTGCCCAGGAGATCGAGGGAGCCGAGGCCGCTTTCGCCGCCCAGCAGAGAAGCTTCGAGGAGGCCCGATATTTATTGAGACGAGTCAAGACCGCCAGGAAATTCTACCCTGTGGATTAGAACAAGAAGCGAGAATACCGAAATGGACATCGCAAACCGCCGGGGCCCCGGGCTGGATCCAGAGGCTCAGGGTCATCCAAGGGGCGAGGCCGCGGGGGCGGACAGCGACGTGGCGGACCACCCCGACGAGAAGGATATCGCTCCCATGACCGGCCTCCCAGGAAAGGGCCATGTCTGAAGTGCGGCGGTAACCGCGAGACCAAGGATCATCGAGATCGAGAACGCGCGTCTTCTACTGGCAGCCGGGGCGACCGAGACCGACGCACAAAGGGGTTCGGAGGTTTCGTCTTCTTCGGCACCGAGCAGGATGCCGAGATGGAAGCTAACCTCATCACGAACGGGATGTCCAGGCTGCAGTTGGAAGAGTCCCTTGCCAACGAGCCAGTGATCAAGAATCGGCCGAAGACCGCCAACCAGAAGAAGCAGCTCGACGAGAATTCCTACATGCCGGTCGAGTGGGCCATCGAGTTGCGAGAACGAGTCCAGCACGAGAAGCTACCGATCTGGTCTACCCTGGAGAAGGCCGAGGACTGGATTCTCATGTGTGTCAAGCAGAGCTCCTCCAAGGGTTTCGACATTCTCGACGACGGCGCGACCTCCAGCATCATGGGCATGAGGCCGCCGAGAACCTACGCGACATTATCTACGAGCAGACGGGCAATAATATCAATATGGACGTTAGTCATTGGCGACGGCAGTGCCAGGACCTGCACCAGCAAGGCGACCTCTACCCTCATGATCGCCAGCGTGGGCGGCGAGCTAGAGATCAACATCCTCGACGCAGACGCCCCGCTCCTGATCGGAGTGGACGTGCTGAGCCGCCTCGGGGCTGCGATTGACTGCGAGGCACACGCTGTTTACTTCAAGAAGCTCGGGCGCCGAGCTGAGCTGCTCGCCCTTCCGAGCGGCCACCTTGCACTGCCATTTGTACGTCGAGCCGATGTTGGCTTCGTGGCATCCCTCGAGTAGGGGCGCGCGCCCTCGACGCCCGAGACTGCTGCGGTGCCGGGGGGGAAACCTAAAGATAAGCAGCCCATCCACGGCGAGGTATCTTGACCGTCTGCAGCTGCACCCAACGAGGTCCCCGACGAGGCCCCAGACAATGGAGCGCCACAGGCCTCATGTACATCATCATTACCTACGACCGCGGGGGCGTCATCATTACTTGGGACTACGGGGGCATCATCATTACCTACGACTACGGGGACATCATCCTTACAAATGTCATGGACATCAGCATCGCCCCCTACAGCACCAACTATGACATTATCAGGAACACCTACAGAGTCTCTCCCAGAGATTCCCAAGTTCCCAGAGCTTCAGACCCCAACGCCCCCGCCTTCCAGAGCCATTTATGGCGCAAGAGATTCGAGCCCAGAGCTCAGATTCCAGCAACCAGCATTTCTTCCATATTCGCATGAGCCTCTAACGCGAGGCGAAATGCCGCAAAGCCGAGAGCCAGCAGGTGAAGCTGGATAACGAGGAGATGGTCGGATCATGGGAAGCGGTGCCGTCGCTGGATGCAGACGCTCCGACTCGCCCTCCGACGTCGACGAGACCTACGCAGCCGATGCCGCCATCGGCTCGTCTGACCCAACATCAGGACAGGAGGGGCAACATATTCTACGCGGTCGAGGGCTCGGAGCTGGACAAGAGCCTGAAGCGCTTGTCGGACACCTTCCTACTGGAGCACCTGCCGACCTGGGAGACGTGGTCCAGCAAGCTCCTGGAGCAGTGGGCGATGTGCCGCCGCTGGGGGCGGGTCATCATCAAGGTCTTCCTCAAGACGATCGACCGGGTGACCTGGAAGCTGGACAGCATCGGCCCCCCTGTGCAGCTGCTGTCCGAGAAGGCCCGACCTGGCGGGCGGAGCTCGGGCATCGTGCGAAGATCGAGCCACAGCGCCCCAGGACGGAGACGGAGCAGAGGTCAGTCGCATCCGCGGCCGCTCGAGAGCAGAACCAGGAGCTGCGGGCCAACATCGAGACCGCAAAGTCCGATTTCTCGACCAATTATGCGACGGTGGATGCGTTTGCAGCGCTCAGCTCGGAACAGATCTACGAGAAGCTCAACATGGTGACGGTGGTCAATCACTTGAAGCCCCTGTGCAAGACCTTGGGACTGACGCAGTCCGGCAAGAAGGAGGACGCGATCGACAGGCTCATCGCGTGCATCATCGAGCAGCGCGGAACGGCGGCAGCGACGATCAGGGTCAAGAAGGAGCCCGAGGCCAGGAAGGTGGAGACGGGGCCTATCGTTGTGGGCCCGGCGATCCCAGCGCACTACACGCAGATGTGCCGGCGCCCAGACTGTCAGCAGCAGCGGTGCATCGCGAAGAACGAGCCGATCGTGAAGGCGAGGCCCTTCGGGTGGTGCCACCAGGCGTGCGGGGGCAGGACGAGGACCTGAGTGACATTCAGGCCGAGAAGCTACGCTGGGGAAGCGGCGAGAGCCGCCCGCTGTGAGGCCATCAGCGTCAGGTCATTCGTGCAGCTACCCGCTCGACGAGGTCGGCCATCTTCGGAGCTACGTGCGCTCTCACGACCTTCGGCAGATTGACGACGGTCGAGGCGTGTACCCACGAGGACTCCAACCTTGGCCAGGTCTGCGACGAGAAGGGCTACAACTACGAGAGACTCGGCCTGTTCAACGAGTGCGGCCTCAGCAAGCCGCAGGGCTACCACAAGGCGAAGTTCCTGCTGGGCGAGAAGCGCCCGGAGCTCCTCGTCAGCACACCTCCCTGCGGGCCGTGGTCGATGATGCAGAATATCAACCAGCGCGACGACAAGCAGAAGGATAATCTGCGCAAGAAGCGACTCAAGAGCCAGCGGATCTCTGAGAACAGCAAGTGGCTCATGGAGCATCAGGTGCCTCACCTGAATGGCTCGGCCCTCGCCGAGCAGCCACACAACAGTCGTTCGCGGCAGACGACCTGCTGGAAGGACCTGCACATTCTCCCCTACGAGGTGATCGTAGACGGCTGCGCCTGCGGACTCAAAGCCCCGGACACAGGCGAGCTCATGAAGAAGCGCTGGAAGTTCCTGGCGAACGACAAGGATCTGGGTGGCCTTCCAGCCGCTACAATGCCGTGGAGGACACTATCATGAGGAGATCGAGAGCAGTCTGAGGACCGAGGCCTCGGGCTCCTATCCCAAGGTGCTGTGCCGCCGGATCCTCCGAACTCTGACCAAGAGCCAGAATCAGAATTACTTCGACGAAGAGGTCGTGAATTTCTGTATGGCCGCTACCCAGCAGCCACCTACTGAGCCGACTCCAGAGGAGGACGAGACATCAATTCCACCACTAGATGGCAAGGAGTCACACGACCTCACCAACGACACAGTCAAGAAGCTCGAGAGCTACATCAGGCTGGCTCACACCAACCTGGGACATTTACTTCGAGCACATCTTCTACGCTACCTACGAGACCGAGGCGCGAGACCTGACGTGCTACGGTTGGCCGGAACCTTCAAGTGCGACATCTGTGATGCTCACCGACCACCGACGAAGCGGCCGCCAGCTTCCTCAGCAGAGCAGCCTCATAATGGTCACGAAGTTTTGTTCGACGCCTTTTCTTGGGTCCGTCGCAGCACGAACACCGGCGTGATGGCGCTAGCGATCCTCGGCGCAGGCTCGGACATACTCTACGTGCGGCTCATCGACGAGAGCAATCCCAGGGACCTGCCGACAAGTTCGTGCGGGCGACCTTCGACACATCTTTGTTACGGCGTGGTTCCCTTGGATGGGACGGCCGAAGGTCATGCGCTATGATCCAGTCGGGAGCGCCATCTCCGACGAGTTCCGCGAGTGGATCGAGAGCCAGGGGGTCTACTGCCTCCCATGCGCTGCCGACGCCCACTGGCAGATCGGCAAGATCGAACGAGCCATCGATGCGTTCAAGGAGGCCCTTGACGCCTTCGACGAGATGATCTTAGCTGAAGTTCCCACGAGCGAGATGTTCGGACTACAGACAGCAGCCAGGAACGACCTGATCAGGATCGACGGTTTCAGTCCGCTGCAGCGCTATGCGGGACGGACACCCACTGGCACCGCGGTCAACCTCTTCGACGAGCTGACCAACCTGCCACTCATCAGCGCCGAGCTGCTGGATGGCACCTTCTGCAGGGACGCTCAAGTACGACGGATGGCACGGCTAGCTCGCATCCAGACGGAGAACTCCGACCGAGTCGAGCGTGCGGAGGCCGCGAGCTTCAGATCGTTCAAGAAGTACGAGACGGGCGACCTGGTATTCGTCTACCGGCGGCTCCCACCAGGAGCCTGGCGCAAGAAAGGACAGCCCCGATCCATTCAGGACGAGGCCGCTGGTGCGGACCTGGACGAGCACTCTGCCATGAACCTGCCAGCTCAGGACATCGACCTGGTCTGCCCGGGGCGGTGGTCCACATCGCTAGCTGGGCGACTCTACCGAGTTGTTCCCGAACAACTTCGGCCCGCCACACCTTCCGAGGAGGCGATGGCGTCGCCACGCTCGCGCCGCGAGCAGCCTGGAACACGGACCTTCGGCGACTTCCAGAAGCAGCTCGACACGAACGAGGTGATCGACCTGTCGAACGAGTCCCCTCCCACTGGTGAGGACCTGGCCGCTGACGACGGAGAGTCGGTCAGCGCCCGCGCCTTCGAGAATGACGCAAGCGGGCCCTGGGCCATCCCTGAAGACGAGGACCTACCTGTTCCACGAGGAGATCCTCGGAGCTTGGACCCAGGTGGTGGCGGAGGCGGTGGCGCCCAATCAGCCCCGCCAGGCCTCGAGGAACGACCGCTCCCAGGCCCGCGACCGCCATGGCGACTAAGGAGGAAGTGCAATCCCTGGGATAAGGCTACCGAGGCCCAGGAACCTTTCATCCAGCCAGCACCACCAGAAGGTCCACCAGGTATTCCACAGACTGAAGACCACGAAGCTGGGCAGCCAGCCGAAGCCGAACCGACTGCAGAAGATGAAATCATCATGGAGGCTCTTCCAGATGACGATCAAGAACCTCCCGCGACTCAATAACCTCTGGCCGCGGACACGAGCGACGAGTTGGACGAGACGACGGCGCCGAACGACAATGACAAGCGTCGGCTACGATCGCCAGGATCTACGGAGCCCCCGATCAAGAAGCAGCGGATCAATTTGGCGACCCAGGAAAAGTATTCCTACTACCTGCAGGAGGGTAACTTCTACGGGGACTACGCCTACAGCGTCCAGCCGTATGACGAGGTCAAGGAGGACGACGAGCTCATCGTGCTGGACATCCCTGTCAACAGCGAACACGCGCTCATGGCTTGCATGGGCGACCCCAGCAACTTCGTGGCATCGCAGGCCCGGAAGGGCCGAGTCGAAGTCTCATTCAAGAAGGCGACCCCAGATGAGAAGAAGCTGCTACTCGAGGCACAGCAGAAGGAGTGCACTTCCGTCCTCAGCACGAAGGCCGTCAGGGTCCTCAGTCGACAGGGGATCGACCCAGCGCGTCTGTTGCGCTGCCGTTTCGTGCTGACCTGGAAGAAGGATGACAAGGGCAACGCGCTCAGGGGCAAGGCCAGATTGGTCGCGCTCGGTTTCAGCGACCCCGACCTGCTTCATGTACTGACGGAGTCTCCAGTTGCATCGCGACGGGCACGTCAATTCCTACTGGCCATGGCAGCGAGACACAAGTGGAAGCTGGAGAAGGCCGATGCCGTCACTGCCTTCCTCCAGGGAGAAACGGACGAGGAGAAGCGGAAGATCTACGCGGACCCCCCCTAAGGACGTACGTCAGGCCTCCGGCATGAAAGACGACGAGGTCCTGCAGTTTCTCAAGCCGATGTACGGGTTCGTACATGCTCCTCGCAAGTGGTGGCTACATTTCAAAGAAACGCTCAAGATGCTGCAGCTGGAAGTGATACAGTGCGAGCCATGCGTCTGGGCCATCCGAGACAGCACTAAGCTGGTCGGCATGGCCATCCTACACTTTGACGACATGATGATTGCCGGTGGTCATACTCACGCAGGCTTTCTCAAGAAGCGACAAGAGATCCAACAGGCATTCGAGTGGACCCCCTGGGAAAGCCGAGCATTCGTGCATTGCGGTACCAGCATCCGTCAGAACGAGGATTCCCCTTGCAGTCTCGCACAGGACAGCTACAGCCTGAACATGGCGCCCATCAAGATACGACGTGGACGGAAACCTACAGACGGAGTCTCGGACCAAGAGAGATCAGACTTACGAGGGCGACTTGGTGCAGTCGGCTGGCGAGCTCAACAGTCCGCCCTGTGGCTAAGTGCTGAAGTCTCACTACTTCAAGCGGAGGTACCTACGGCTATGGTCTCGACCATCCAGAAGATCAACAAGCTCATCCGCACCATGAACGATACTGCCGACGTGGCCATGCTCATCCCCGCCATTGAGCATATCGCTGTAGTTGGCTGGAGCGATGCAGCCTGGGCTGCCCGTATCACCGGCGAGTCCCGGGGTGGCGAGATGATCGCGTTGGCCCCACTGTCTTTCCTGAGCGGCTCGACTGAGACGGTGGCACCTATCTCATGGAGATCGTGCAAATTACCGCGAGTCGCCAGAAGCAGTGCGAGTGCGGAGGTTCAGATGATGACGGAGACCCTAGACGAGATCAGCTACGTGCGTCTGCTCATCTATGAGTTGGAGTGCGGCCAAGTGGACTGCGCGAACGAGCAGATCTCATCCTGCCCTGGCGTGCTAGTCACAGACGGCAAGTCGGGCTACGACGCTATCGAGAAGAGTGAGTCGGCTGGTCTTGGACTACGCGACAAACGTACGAGCATCGAGTGTCTAGGCATTCGACAGCAGAAGGAGCAGACAGCCTTCCAGATACGTTGGGTTCACAGCGACGCTATGCTCGCCGACGGTCTCACCAAGGATCGTGCCGCCAAGGTCTTTCTCGAGTTCTTCAGGACAGGCCAGCGCTGGAGGCTCGCGGGCGACCCTCTACACCGCAGTGCTAGAAAACGCAAGACCGAGGGCATGGACAAGCTCGACCACGGCAAGCCGCTGTCCCCCGACGACGACGATGCTATGCTCGAGGCCCTCATCTACTACGCCCGCGACGACCCCGACGAGCAGGACAGCCTTGCTGGAGATGCAGCCCTGTCAGCCGCCAGCGGCAGGCCTCGATGCCGTAACATCGATCTTCAGATTTTGGGCATGCAATTCACAGCCCAGAGCCTGCCTATCTAGAGCCTACTTACCACAGATGGCCCCTAGAGGCCGAGCGTGACATATGTGTAGGATCAGACTCCCCAGGGGCCTCTTTTATGTATCCCTGCGTATCCCGGCGAATCGGGCCCCCTTTAGCCTCCAGGTTGCAGCCAGCCTTGCTTAGTGGGCCCTCCGAGATCCTCCGAGATCCCCATTACAATATCCCAGAACAGGTTCATCCGAAACCGTTCTGGCTCAAGCCTTTGCAGCGTCACAGCGACGCTGGACTGACTGGTGTGCGTCTGGGAGACGCAGAGCAGAGAACTGCCCGCCAATACAGATCCTGTTCATCACCATCGTGCGACCAGAATCGCACAGACACTGCCCCATATTCCCCAATAGCTACGACCTCACACACATCATCGAGAGAGACGAGAGATTAGTATCCTGGTTTGATATCTTGTGAGAAGGGAGATAAATATTCTGGATTGTATCAGGGCAGTGGTCTATCAGCGGGACCATTTCACATGGAAGGACGGGTCCGGGGGAGGGGCGAGGAGGGGGGATGGTCGTAATGGCCGCCTGGGTGTCGCGTCCCTCGTATTTTTCCGAGTGAAGCTGTTCCCGGGCGGCTCCCATTGCCCGTTTCTATGAATCTCCCTAACAGTTTTTGCTGATAGGTTTCTAATGGGATCACAAGAGTGGGAACTGACAGAAACCGGCAGCCCCAGGGGGGTCTGGGCGGGAACCGGAAAAAACCGGCAGCTTCAGGAGTCCTTGGGAATTTCATAGGAATCTTTGCATTCTTGCATCAGAACACCATGCCACATTTTGAATGCCCGGAGCCAGTTGTAGGCCATTTCGTGTTCTTCGTGTTCCCAGAACACCACTCCCAGGCCACATTTTGAATGCCCGGCGCCAACTGTAGGCCACTTCGTGTTCTTTGTCTTCCCAGAACGCCACTCCCAGGTCACATTTTGAATGTCCAGAGCCAGCTGTAGGCCACTTCGTGCTCTTCGTCTTCCCGGAACATCATTCCCAGGCCACATTTTGAATGCCCGGAGCCAATTGTAGGCCACTTCGTGTTCTTCGTCTTCCCAGAACGCCACTCCCAGGTCACATTTTGAATGTCCAGAGCCAGCTGTAGGCCACTTCGTGCTCTTCGTTTTCCCGGAACATCATTCCCAGGCCACATTTTGAATGCCCGGAGCCAACTGTAGGCCACTTCGTGTTCTTCGTGCTCCCAGAACGGCATTCCTGTACCATATTTTGATTGCCCTGAGCCAACTGTGAGCCGAGGCAGGCTGAGGCTGAGGCTGAGGCCGAGACAGGCTGAGGTTGGGGCTGAGGCAAGCCGAGGCAGGCTGAGGCTGAGGCTGAAGCTGAGGCAGGCTGAGGCTGGGGCAGCCGAGGCAGGCTGAGGCTGAGGCTGAGGCAGGCTGAGGCTGAGGCAGTGAGGCTGAGGGTGACGCAGGCTGAGGCCGAGGCAGGCTGAGGCTGAGGCTGAGGCCGAGGCTGAGGCTGAGGCTGAGGCAGGCTGAGATTGGGGCTGAGGCAGGCTGAGGCTGAGGCTTATGCTGATGCAGGCTGAGGCTGAGAGGCTGACGCTGAGTCTGAGACATGCTGAGGCTGAGGCTTAGGCCGAGGCATGCTGAGGCTGAGGCTAAGGCAAGCCGAGGCAGGCTGAGGCTGAGGCTGAAGCCGAGGCAGGCTGAGGCTGAGGCTGAGGCAAGCCGAGGCAGGCTGAGGCTGAGGCTGAAGCTGAGGCAGGCTGAGGCTGAGGCAGCCGAGGCAGGCTGAGGCTGAGGCTGAGGCAGAGGCTGAGGTTTGGGGGCAGGCATGAGGCTGAGGCTGAGGGTGACTGAGGCTGAGGCCGAGGCAGGCTGAGACTGAGGCTGAGGCTGAGAGCTGAGGGCTGAGGCAGAGCTGAGGCTGAGGCTGAGGGCTGACGAGGCTGAGCTGAGAGGCTGGCTGAGGCTGAGGCAGGCTGAGGCTGAGGCTGAGGCCGAGGCAGGCTGAGGCTGAGGCTGAGGCAAGCCGAGGCAGGCTGAGGCTGAGGCTGAAGTTGAGGCAGGCTGAGGCTGAGGCTGAGGCAAGCCGAGGCAGGCTGAGGCTGAGGCTGAAGCTGAGGCAGGCTGAGGCTGAGGCAGCCGAGGCAGCCGAGGCAGGCTGAGGCTGAGGTTGAGGCAGGCTGAGGCTGAGGCAGGCTGAGGCTAAGGCTGAGGCTGAGGCTGAGGCTGAGGCAGGCTGAGACTGAGGCTGAGGCAGGCTGAGGCTGAGGCTGAGCTGATGCAGGCTGAGGCTGAGAGGCTGACGCTGAGGCTGAGCTGAGGCTGAGGCTGAGGCTGAGGCCGAGGCAGGCTGAGGCTGAGGCTGAGGCAAGCCGAGGCAGGCTGAGGCTGAGGCTGAAGCTGAGGCAGGCTGAGGCTGAGGCTGAGGCTGAGGCAAGCCGAGGCAGGCTGAGGCTGAGGCTGAAGCTGAGGCAGGCTGAGGCTGAGGCAGCCGAGGCAGGCGGAGGCTGAGGCTGACGCAGGCTGAGGCCGAGGCAGGCTGAGGCTTATGCTGAGGCTAAGGCTTATGCTGCGGCAGGCTGAACTGAGGCTGAGGCAGGCTGATTGAGGCAGGCTGAGGCTGAGGCTGAGGCTGGCAGGCTGAGGCCGAGGAGAGCTGAGGCTGAGGCTGATGCAGGCTGAGGCTGAGAGGCTGACGCTGAGGCTGAGGCAGGCTGAGGCTGAGGCTGAGGCCGAGGCAGGCTGAGGCTGAGGCTGAGGCAAGCCGAGGCAGGCTGAGGCTGAGGCTGAAGCTGAGGCAGGCTGAGGCTGAGGCAGCCGAGGCAGGCTGAGGCTGAGGCTGAGGCAGGCTGAGGCTGAGGCAGGCTGAGGCTGAGGCTGACGCAGGCTGAGGCCGAGGCAGGCTGAGGCTTATGCTGAGGCCGAGGCTTATGCTGAGGCAGGCTGAGACTGAGGCTGAGGCAGGCTGAGGCTGAGGCTGAGGCTGATGCAGGCTGAGGCTGAGAGGCTGACGCTGAGGCTGAGGCAGGCTGAGGCTGAGGCTGAGGCCGAGGCATGCTGAGGCTGAGGCTGAGGCAAGCCCAGGCAGGCTGAGGCTGAGGCTGAAGCTGAGGCAGGCTGAGGCTGAGGCTGAGGCTGTGGCTGAGGCTGAGGCAAGCTGCGGCTGAGGCAGGCTGAGGCTGAGGTTGATGCAGGCTGAGGCTGAGGCAGGCTGAGGCTGAGGCTGAGGCAGGCTGAGGCTGAGGCTGAGGCCGAGGCAGGCTGACGCTGAGGCCGAGGCAAGCCGAGGCAGGCTGAGGCTGAGGCTGAGGCTTATGCTGAGGCAGGCTGAGACTGAGGCTGAGGCAGGCTGAGGCTGAGGCAGGCTGAGGCTGAGGCAGGCTGAGGCTGAGGCCGAGGCAGGTGCATCCTTCGGAATCCTTAGGATTTCCTAGGAATCCTCAGGAATCCCTAGGGATCCCTAGGAATCAGGATTCCTAAGGATTCCTAAGGTTTCTTAAGGATTCCTATGGATTCCTAAGGATGCCTAAGGTTCCTTAGTAATCCTTAGGAATCCTGAAGGATTCCATTGGATCCTAAGGCCGTTGTCACTGCGACTGTCATTGCGAATGCGACTGCGACTGCGAGAACAGCAGAATTCTACAACTGGATTCTCACCTGAATCTTAAGGGGAATGCTTCCAGATATGCTTATACACATCGCTGTTAGGTTGCTTTGCCGGGATAATTTTAAAGTGAAATGGCTCAAGGGCCCCAAGACAGCCCAAGAAGGCTCCCAAACGGCCCAACGACGGCCCCACGAGAGTTTCAGATGGCCTCCAGACGGTCCAAGAGAGCCTCGAGACGGCTCCAAGGCCCTTGAGAGGGCCTCAGGAGGTCCAAAACATAGATTTCCCAAGGGTGTTTGAAGGTTTTTCGGGTTCTCGCTTTTTCGGGCTCTGTAGGGCCCAACACGGCCCACGAGGCTCCCAAGCTCGTTCCAAGACGGCCCCAGAGCCCCCCCAAAGGGGCCGAGAGCTGTCCAAGAGAGCCCCCAGACGGCCCAAGAGGGCCCCCAAACAGCCCCAGAGGGGCCCCAAGATGGCCCCAAGAGAGCTCCAAGAGGGCCCCAAAAGGCTCCCAAGAGGTGGTGTGGGGACTGGGCTGCTTGGGTGTGGGGACTGGGCTGGCCCCAAGACGGCCCAAGAGTACCAAAACGGCTCTCAAGCTGGCCCTGGAGAGGGCCTCAGGAGACCAATGAGTGTGTGTTGCACGGTTTTGCTATGTCGATTTTTGATCTATTGCAGCCTCAAGGCAGCCTCACCGCGGCTGCTCGGGCACAAACTTTCAGCGGATATGCAGCCGCATCACCCGGCCAGCGCGGCGGGTGCCGTTGTCACGTTCTGGGTCGGCTTCGCGGCCCACGGCGTGCTCTGGCCCGCGCTGGCTCTTGAGACTGCTGGCTGTGTGCGGGACGGCCCGGGCCACGAGCTGGAGGACAGCTCGAGCTCAACCACGAGCATGCAGCACGCGGACGAGCACCAGCGCGGCGGCACCGTGCCCGGTGTTCGACCCGCTGCCCCGCTGCCCGGCGCTGGAGGCGCCTAAGGAGGCCGCTCCGCAGGTGCTGCGGGTGGCCGGAGCGGGCCTCGGGGCGACGGTGGAGGTGCCTGTGCTCGCGGCGCTGTGAGGTTGCTCGCTGGCGCAGCTGGCGGCGTGCTGGGCCTGGAGCCTGGTGGCGAGGCGGTCCTCCGACAGACTCGCCCTCGAGCCGATCGGCGAGGCGCGGATCCACGTGACATGATGGCGCTGGAGGGCGCGAGCCCCACCTTGCGTGCGGTGGTGCGTTATCGAGAGGATCCCGGCTGGACGCACGAGCGCCTCCTGTGCTGGCCGAGCGCTGCTAATCAGAGCTCGTGGATGGTCTACACGGCTGGGAATGATTTGTATTCAGAGGACCTGGCAGACTTCACTTCGGTGGTGGCCTGGACGGGTTGGCGGCGCTACCCAGCCAGGGTCCGCAACGTGGTCGCATTCAATCGCGAGCTGC